AACTTCCCCCCCTCAGTGGTCGAGAACGCCCTCAACCGTGTCTCCCACATCTCCCGCAACTCATCCCTTACACCCCGTCCACGCAATAACAACCAAAAAAGAATCCCCCTCGTCCTTACGTACCACCCCACCAACCTCCGGGTCCAACGCATCATCCTCCGACACTTCCGCTATCTGCAATCCGACCCCACCACCAAAGACATCTTTCCCTCCCCACCCTTATCTGCTTTCCAGAAGGAGCACTCTCTCCGTGACTCCCTTGTCCGCTCCACAATCCCCTCCAGCCCCACGACACCCGGCACTTTTCCCTGCAACCGCAGGAAGTGCTACACCTGCCCCCATACCTCCTCCCTCACCCCCATCCCAGGCCCCAAGAAGACTTTCCACATCAAGCAGATGTTCACCTGCACATCTGCCAATGTGGTATACTGCATCCGCTGTACCCGGTGTGGCCTCCTCTACATTGGGGAAACCAAGCGGAGGCTCGGGGACCGCTTTGCAGAACACCTACGCTCGGTTCGCAATAAACAACTGCACCTCCCAGTCGCGAACCATTTCAACTCCCCCTCCCATTCCTCGGACGACATGTCCATCCTGGGCCTCCTGCAGTGCCACAACGATGCCACCTGAAGGTTGCAGGAACAGCAACTCATATTCCACTTGGGAACCCTGCAGCCCAACGGTATCAATGTGGATTTCACAAGCTTCAAAAACTCCCCTCCCCCTACCGCATCCCAAAACCAGCCCAGCTCGTCCCCGTCTCCCTAACCTGTTCTTCCTCCCACCTATCCCCTCCTCCCACCTCAAGCTGCACCCCCATCTCCTACCTACTAACCTCATCGCGCCCCCTTGACCTGTCCGTCCTCCCTGGACTGACCAATCCCCTCCCTAACTCCCCACCTACACTCACCTTTACTGGCTCCATCCCCGCCTCTTCGACCTGTCTGTTTCCTCTCCACCTATCCTCTCCTCTATCCATCTTCTATCCGCCTCCCACTCTCTCCCTATTTATTTCAGAACCCCCTTCCCCCCCCACCATTTCTGATGAAGGGTCTAGGCCTGAAACGTCAGCCTTTCTGCTCCTATGATGCTGCTTGGCCTGCTGTGTTCATCCAGCTCTGCACCTTGTTGTCTCGGATTCTCCAGCGTCTGCAGTTCCTACTATCTCTATAGTCCAGATTATGTTGCATTTGAACATGACTCCTCAGATACTGAAGCAGTTCATGAATGGTGCTGAACATTGTGTTATCATCGGCAAACATCCCCACTTCTGGATGAAGCAGCTGAAGATCTATCTTAGGCCTAGGATCTATCCACTCTAAGCATGGTGTGCATCATTGCTTTCAATGCCTTTAGAGAGAGGTGGGCATTGCTTTATTTCCCCATCCATCTCCATTTTGATTTAGTCCCTTACTACTCTCCCTACCTCACTCCTCTCTGCCCTTTGATGGTTGGCATTGCCCATAATGGGCTTTGCTTATAAATGTTCAATTGGCTACAAGGGTGTTTTACTGGTAGGGGTTACTAGTTTAAAAAAACCAAAAAGTGTCCCGGTGAGTTTGGTGGTGGCCAGGTCACTAAGTTGTGTGAGATCACACTTCTCGGTAGAAGAAGAAACAAAAAGGAAAAGAAGTCCACTCTAAGCATTGCCAGCCTTTCAGCACACCTTCTTTTATTCACTCCCAGGATGTGGGTGGTGCTGGCTGAACCAGCATTTATTGCCCATCCCTGGAGAAGACGTTGGAGCTGCTTTCTTGAGCTGCTCCAATCCTTACAGTGTAGGAACACCCACTGTGCTTTTAGGGAGGGAGTTTCAGAATTGTTCAAGACTTTGACCAGTGATAGTGAAAGAAGTGTGATATATTTCCAAGTCAGGATCCTGTGTAGTTTGGAGGGGGGTCTTGCAGGTGGTGGTACTTCCATGCAGCTGCAGCTCTGGTCCTTCTGGGTGGTAGAATTCACGTTGGAAGGTGGTGTTGCTGAAGCCTTGGTGAGTCACTGCGGTGCATCTTGGAGGTGGCACACAGTGGTTCCACTGTGCATTTAGATGGATGAAGTGAATGTTGAAGGTGGTGGATGAGGTACAGATCAAGCAGGCTATCTTTGTCCTGCATGGTGTTAATGTTGATGGAATTGCACCCATTCCAGGCAAGTGGAGAGTATTTTATCATTGTCCATTCCTTGTAGATGGTGGACAGGCACCGGAGAGACAGGAGTGAGTTACTCGCCACAGAATTCCTAAAATCCTGACCTGTTCTTGTGGCCATGATCTTGTTGTGACATGTCCAATTGAATTCCTGGTCAATGTTAACCCCCAGGATGTTCACATGTGCCTTGCAACTTTCACCCCTTCCATCCATTACCTCTACCAACTCATCAGAGGGAGAGATTCCACAATATCCTGTCCCCATAACTAAGTATGTATTCAGCTGTGGTCCTGCAGTCTTCATTTGCCTAGTTCTACATGATACAATGATTCCCACTGACTTGGCAAAGGAAGAATTTTCCCATGCCATTCTTGCATGCAGTCTCCCTGCTGTTCGGAGGAGTAGAAAACTTTATTAAAAGTTTTAATAAACTTGACGTGAATGAAGCTTTTGGAATTCGTCTCCTGAAATAACTTCGGAAAGCAAATGGACAGATTTTGGTCGAGATTGCGAGAGAGGCTGATGATTAGTCAGCCAGCTTAAATAATATTTGTGCATTTTAGGAAATTGTGAACATTGCGCATGCACAGACATTTCAGGTACAGCAAATCAAGTCCAAAGTTTTTATAAGAAGCTGGGGCCAGTGAGTGAAAATGTTATGGAAATACTTAATGACAAGCTGAATAATTTGAGGCCAAACATTTTTTGTAATTGACAAAGAAAATATTGAATAAAAAATGATCAGCAAGCATTTTGAGAATGGTGCAGTGACATCTGGTGGCCAGAGCTTCTAAATACAAGGTGACAGGAGTGATTTGCGTTGGATATTTATGGAAAAGTAAACTATAATTGGTGCTGGAAATCTGAAATAAAAACAGAAAATGCTGGAAATTCTCAGCAGGTCAAGCAGCATCTATAAAGAGAGAGAAGAAGAGTTAATGTTTCAGGTTGTTGATCTTTCATCTCTTTATTGGACCTTTATTTCAAGTATGTGCGTAGGAATTGACAATGGAAATGTTGACAGAAGTGAGATGAACAATGTTTTTGGACAACAATGCATGCAATGCAAGGTAAATGTTTAAATATTATGCTTGTAGTTGCATAAGTGAAATGCAAAATGAAACGAATCAAATTTTCAAATGGCTGAAGTGGAACTTGCACTCCACTTCTCTGGATTTCTAGTTCACATGAACAGTATCCTTCCAAGTTCTTCTCCACACACCATCCTGACTCGGATTTACATCAGCATTACATTGGCTGAATTGGATGAAGATCCCAGAATCCTTTCACCACATTGTCAGCAGTGATTCAAGTGAACAGCCTCCTCGAGGCAAACACAGGTGGCAATAAATGCCAAAACAATCACATCTCAAGAATGAACAGAGTTGCTAAAGCATTAGTGAAATGGAAGGAAAAGTTTTACAGGTTATTCAAAAAGCTTTATTCTGTGAAATCAAAGGCAACATTAAGTGGTTCTGTTGTGTTCCTCATCCATTGTGTTGTATGTTCCTCCAGTGGTTGCAGATGACTATAGTCACCTGCTATGAAAAATGTAGCCTTTGTGGGCACTGCTACTCTGAAGGCCAAGATGCTGACCTTTGACCTATAGCTCCTGTGCTAATGGGATTGCTTTCATCAATGTGCCATTCTAGCACAGGCGTTTGTTCTGTCCAGCTTCATGCGCCTGAGTAGCATGCTCCGGTTACTGCTCCTACTACAGTGGCTGCTCATCTGGAAGAGGCAGCACATCTTCATCACTAATTCACCCTATTTCAGAATATGTGGACCCTCTGACCCACCACTGTTGTAAACACCAATTGTCTCTCTTGTGATCATTTCAAGGAGATAGTACCATGTTGTTTGTCCCTCGCACGGTCACTGAGATTGGCTTGAAAGATCTGCTTCTACTAGTGCAAGTCTTTTTTGTGTGCGACTGACTATTGGTTTGTTGGTTCCCCTTTTAATAAGGCATCAAGCACGTTGTCCACGTGCTTACCTGCGGAAGTTGCCACCACAGTGTGTGATCTGTGTGTTGTTGAGGAAGAGGTATTATTACTAAGGCAAAGTGTCACTTAACTGTTGGCTTTGTGAGTTCACTCCCTAATGGAAGACAGTGGGAACATGTCAAGATCTGGGCAAGTCAGCTTCTTCTGCAATTTTCCTGATTTTAAACCTCCAACTCGACCTTGCACCCAACAGCCTGAGAAAATTCCGTGATGTTTGATGTTGATAAAGTTGTGCTTGAAGCCATAGCCTTTCTCTTACCTCATAGTCAGAACATTATGGACTCCCGTCCCAATCTTGAAACTTGAGCACATTATTTACGCTGACACGTTGAGGGATTGTCTAACGGGAAGAGATTCCACATATATCCACATCCTCATGTTGGGGGAGTCCAGCACTGTCTTGGATCACACAGTGCATTGGTTAAATCGGATTCGGTTAAATGTAGTAAAGAGAAGGCTTGACAACAGCAATTTGCTTAAATACCAACATTTATTGAATAATAATAAAAGACTAAAAAAGAAAGGAACATTTATTAAGAAAATAAAAAAATTCAAAAGGGAGGAAATAAACAATAAGCCTCACTCCCTTCTACCCGTTGAGGATCCCTCGATCGATGGCAGGTCTGGAGGCTGAGGTTGTTCCTGTTTGCAATCCCGACTCGAGGTGAAGTCCAGTGACTTGCAACGAAACTCTCTCTCTTATACAGTGGAACAAACAGTCAGGCACAGAAAAACAATTACAGAAAAACTCGTTTGTGCTCTCTTTGGGATTTACAGGAATGTTCATGGGTCTCATTCAAGGTCAAGCAGCTGTCGAATATCATGAACAATTTTAGCTCTTCACCCTATTCTATACAAGCACGTAAGTGCAAAAGACAATATTTGAAATGATCATCAACCAGAACTGTCAAGTAGATGGTTCCTCCAAAAAGGTTTTCGGAATCACAGATGCCAGATTTCATATCATTTCAATTCACTTCATGTGAGATCAAGAAACAGCTGAAGGTTGGATACTGGAGAACCTAGAATATGTCAATGGCATGGTGGTAATATTGCTGTACTGTTAATCCAGAGACCCAAGTAATGTTCTGGGGACCCAGGTTTGAATCCCACCAGAAGATGGTGGAATTTGAATTCAATAAAAATCTGGAATTAAAAGTCTAATGATGACCATGAATCCATTTTGATTGTCAGAAAAACCCATCTGGTTCACTAATGTCATTGAGTGGAGGAAACTATCATCCTTACCTGGCCTGGCCTACATGTGACGGTGGACCCACAGCAATGTGGTATACACTTAACTGCCTTCTGGGCAATTAGGGATGGGCAATAAGTGCTGGCATTGCCAGTGGCATCCAGATCCAAAATTTAAAAAAATTCTAAAACAACCTTTCTGAAATAGTATTGAAGACTTGTTTCTACAACTTGCCGCACAATTAATCAAGCTTGTTCCAGTACAGCTACAACACTGGCATCCCGCAGATAGTGTGAAAATTTTCCCAGTTATTTCCTGTCTGTATAAACAGGACAAATTCAACTGGGCCATTTACTGTCCTATTGTTTTTAATCACAAGAAAGTGATTTGAGGGATTTACAATCTGATCAAAGTGGTACTTGCTCAGCATTAACCTGAGATTCAGTTCAAAGACCAAGCAGCTCCTGATCTCATTACAGTTTTGGTCCAAACATTGACAAAAGAGCTGAACTCCATGGAGGAGATGAGGGTGACTATCTTTTAACATCAAGGCTGCATTTGACCAAATATAGCATCAAGTGGGAGGTGATGGCCTAGTGGTGTTATCTCCTAACTGTTAATCTAGAGACCCAGATAACATTTTGGGGAACCGGGCTAAAATCCAGCCACAGCCAATAGTGGAATTTGAATTCAATAAAATATCTGGAATAAAGAATCTAATGATGATCATGAGTCTATTGTCAATTGTTGGAAAAACCCATCTGGTTCATTAATGTCCTTTAGGGAAGGAAACTGCCATCCTTACCTGGTCTGGCCTACTTGTGGCCCACAGCAATGTGGTTGATTCTGAACTGCCCTCTGGGCAATTGGGGCAATAAATGCTGCCTCGCCACCGATGTCCTCATCTGATTAATGAATAAAGCTAAACAGGAGCCCAGCTGAAACTGGGTTCAGTGGGAATCAGGATGAAAACCTTCTGCTGTTTGCAGTTATACCTAGCATAAAAGGAAATGATTTCAGTTGTTGCAGCCCAACCATCTCAATCCAGCAGCCCTCGGCCAACCATCTTCTGCTTCAATGACATTTCCCCTCCGTCATAAGGTTAGAAGTAGGGATGTCCACTAATAATTGCACAATGCTTCGCACCATTCATGACTCCTCAGCAGTCCATGTTGAAATGCAGCCTGGAAAATATCCAGGCTTGCACTGAAAAGTGACACATAATATGTGTCAGGCCATGAGCATCTCCAACAAGAGAGAATCTAAACATCTCTCCTTGATGTTTAATGGTTTTATCATTGTTTCATCACCCTCTATCAATGTCCTGTGGGTTACCATTGATGAGAAGCTGAACTGGATTGGCCATATAAATACAATGACTATCGAAGCAGGTCAAAGAATAGGAATCCTGCAGCAAATAACTAATTTCCTGTCTTCCCAAAGTCGGTCCACTATCTATAAGGCACAAATCAGGAGTACAATGGAATATTCTTCACTTGCCTGGATGGGTGCAGCCCCGACAACACTCAAGAAATTTGACACCATCCAAGACAATGCAACTGACTTGATTGGCACTTCATCTGCCAGCACTTCATCTGCCATCTTCAATATTCATTCCCTTAACTGCTGATGCACTGTGGCAGCAGTGTGTACCATCTACAAGACTCAATGCAGCAATTCACCAAAGCTCCTTCGACAGCACCTTCCAAATTCACTACCACTTCATCTGTAAGAACAAGGGCAGATACGTGGGAAGACTACCATCTACAAGTTCCCCTCCAAGCCACTCATCAACCTGATTTGGAAATATATCACTGTTCCTTGGTGTCATTGAGTCAAAATTCTGGGTCTCTCTCTTCCCGATGAGGATGTACCTAGATCCCAAGTACTACAACGGTACAAGAAGGCAGCTCACTGCTAAATTCTCCAGGACAACTAGGTTCTTATTCAGAACTTGCATGTAAGTTATATTGGATTCGAACATTAACCCTGTTTCTCTGTAGGTGCTGCCAGAGTTGCTGAGTTTCTCCAGCATTTTTTCTTTATGCATCTTTTGGTTTTTGTTGCAAACTTCAGTTCATCTTCTATACGGATGAGAATAGCTGTTGATTCTCCAATGTATTATTTGATAGATCATAGAATCATTTCCTACAAGGGCAGCCATTTAGTCAAACTTACCACTTCTGTCATCCTTTGAGACACTGCATTCCATACTGAAACAACTTGTTACATTCAATATAAAATTCCTCATCCCTCCCTCCTTTACTTTGGTATCATTCGGAATGATGTACAGGACGTCAAAATAAGATTCAGTTCATATAATGATTTGTTTCCACAGGGTCCGGAACCCAGAAACAATGCCGCAAAGCCCAAAGAAAATTCAGGTCCTGAATGTTCCTGGAAATGTTCCTGTGCAACGTTTGTTGCATAAACTGACCATTTATTTCCAGAAGTCAAGCAATGGAGGGGGTGAAGTGTTGGATGTGGAATATCCGACCAGTGTTAAAGACTGCGCTTACGTCATTTTTGAGAAGGAGGAAGGTAATTGAGCTCGGTGATTGGTGCGGTGGCGTGGTAATAATCTCTAGGATTGGGGGTTTTGGGCTAGTGTAAAGACCTGAATTGAGGAGGATGTGGTACAAACCAGGGGAATGGCAGTGCTGGCAGTTGACATTTTGCAAGCACTGATCAGAGGTTTGCATAAACCCCAACCAAGTTCAGAGAGATATGAATGCTCTTCTACTCAAAATGTAAACGTGCAGATCTGACAAATGATTTGGAATGCAAAGTGGAGACGATGGCCTTGTGGTATTATCACTAGACTATTAATCCAGAGACCCAGATTACATTCTGGGGACCTCTTTGAATCCCACCATGGCAGATGGTAGAATTTGAATTCAATTAAATATCTGGAATTAAGAACCTAATGATGACCGTGAATCCATTGTTGTTTGTTGGGAAAAACCCATCTGGTTCACTAATGTCCTTTAGGGAAGGAAACTGCCATCCTTACCTGGTCTGGCCTACATGTGACTCCAGACCCACGGCAATGTGGTTGACTCGTAACTGCCCTCTGGGCAATTAGGGATGGTCAATAAATGCTGCTTGGCCAGCGATGCGCTCATCCCATTAAATGAATAAAGAAAAACAAAACAGCATATTAAGTTTTATTATTAAAAATTAATAGAGGCTTAGGGTTTAAGAGCAGAGAGGTTACATTGAACCTTTATATGATCTCAGCTGGAATATTGTCAACTGTTCTTGGTGCCACACTATAGGAAGAATGTGAATTCATTGGAGAGTGCAGAAGAGGTTTATGAAATGATCTCAGGGATGGGACACCTCAGTTATGAGGAAGTTGGACCATTCTGCTTGGAGAGAAGATTTGATAAAAGTTTACGAGATCATATGGGATCTGAACAGAGGGAACTCTAAACTGGAAGGAACTATTCCTGCATGTAAAAGGATCAAGAACCAGAGGGCAGTTTCAAAGTGTTTTGCAAAATAAGCAAATGCAAGATGAGAAACAAATTTATCACAACAAAAGTAGCCCATGTTTGGAATTTGTGCCTGGTACCATGGTGGAGGCAGTTTCATTGGGGCATTGAATATATCATTGGATGATCGTTTAAATGGAAACTGTGCAGGATTATAGGGAAAAGGTAGGAGTTTGGCACTAAGTCAAAATGCTCAGAAAGCCAGTGATAGCATGATGAGCCCTACATGTTTTATGCTGTAATAATTCTATGAATTAGCGTATGATCTTACTGTAGGACCTTAATGAAACCGTGTCTGAATTCCTGTATGAACTTTTGGATTCATTACCGATTCAAGAATATATTTGCCTTTGTGAAAACTTCACTAGATCGCTTTCTGGCTTTGGGACATGTTACATCAGGAGAAATCGAGTCATCAAGGCCTCTATTTCTTCTTATCCTGAAATTGTGTCTATGTGTTCAAAATTTCCTATCCAGGGGCAATAAATTCTATCTACCTTGTTGAGCCCCTTCAGAATCTTATACATTTTCAATAAGATCTCCTTCCAAACTCCAGAGAATATAGGCCCAAATTTTTTAGTCTCTTACACAGGGGAACTGTCTCATCCTAGGGAACAATCTAGTGAATCTTTTCCCTGCTGCCTATAATAAGTATGTCCTTTTTTAAATATAGAAACTGAAATGGTGCACAGTATTGCAAATGTGATCTCACCAAAGCCATTTACAATTGTAAGAATACTTCCTAATTTATGTAGCTAATCCCCTTACAACAAAGGCCATCACACTAGCTTCCTAATTGTTTGCTGCATCTCACTGTTAACCTTCCAGATGTCAACAATTGTAAATTTAACCTCTTTTTAAAAATAAATCTTGCTTTTGGATTCCTACTGTCAAAGTGAATAACTTACACTTCATCACAATATATTCCACCTGCAGTCTTGTTGCCCATTGGCTTTAGAAGTTTATATCTCCTTGCAGCTTCATAGATTACATTCCTACTTGGCTCTTTATTGTCAGAAAACTTAGAAAAATTACTGTCAGCCTGCTCATCAGAGATATTAATACAGATCGTAAATAGCTGATGCTCCAGCACTAATTCTTAGAGCGCTCCCCAAGTTATGGCTTGCCAACTTGAAAATACTTAATTTATCCCTATTTTCTGCTTCCTAATCAATAGCTAATCTTCTATTCACGTTAGTATATTCCCTCAAAGTTTAATCTTGAACAACAGCCTTTTAAATGGTACTTTTTCAAATATGTTTTGGAAGTATACCATGTATTTTCCAAGTTTTCCATGTCTGCAAGTGCCCTTTGTCTACCTTCTAATTACATCCTCAAAAAACTTAATAAATTTGTCAAACACTATTTCCCTTTCATAAAACAGTATTGATTATTTCTGATTATAATGTGATTTTTCTAGGTGCATTCCTGAATGGTACATTTCAAAACTTTATCGATGACGGCTGTCAGACTAACTGACCTGTAGTTCCTTGTTTTCAAACTTCCTCCTTTTGTAGAATCTTAACTTTTTTTTTATGTTGCTTGTGGAGTTGTCTGAAACATAAAGGAACCTGAAGGGCTTTGACAGGGTAGATATGGAAAGGATCTTTACCCTTGTGGATGAATCTAGACCTGAGGGTCGCTGTTTTAAAATAAGAGTTTACTCGTTTAAGGTAGACGTAAGGAGAATTTTTTTCTCACAAAGGATCATGAGGCTTTGGATTTGTTCTTGATAAGAGAGTGGAAGCAGAGTCTTTGAATATTTTTAAGGCAGAATTAGATAGATTCTTGATAGCAAGTAAGTGAATAAGCAAGGCGGTTTGAAAGGTTATTGGGGAGAGGCAGGAATGTGTAGTAATTAGATCTTATTGAATGATGGAGCTGTTTAGAGGGACTGAATACCTAATTCACATTCTCACTCCTACTCCTCTTGGCTCCATATTTAGATAAGTACATTTACAATCTAATCTTATTGCAAGTGACCTGCAGAGATGCTATAGCAGTTACACATTTGGGTCTTAGCGTACCTACGAGTTAATGGGACTCTGCAGTTTTGTGTTTCTCAAATTTCTTTCTTTCTTACAGATGCAAACAATGTCCTTAAAGGAGAACACATATTTCAACTGGACAATAAGAAGTATAAACTGGAAGTACGGGAAGTTGAAGAAGTCCTCAACGATGATGATAATGAACAGGTATATATTTTGAGGGAGAAATTTAAATCCTGTGAAAAATGGGAACAATTTCAAGTCACCAGGTGGGTGGCTCAGTGGTGCTTGCATAGATTCCATATAGCACCTATTATCAGAATAGTAAAGAATAATTTATAAACAAGGGATGATAGTGCAAGGCAAGTGATGATAAGATCAGTAGTTTGTTACAGAGAAGGGGAGGTTAAATCAAAGAAAATCTCTGATACTCACTTTAAAAACAACAATTAACAATTTGTTTATTTAACCTTAACAGTGAACAAATTAATAAAA